ATATATGACATTTTTAGTTTCAGTTGTATGTATGTACAAGAGTATGTATATGCTGGGTTGTGACGGAAAATGTCATTCTTAGTATGGATCAAGCTCCAAAAGGTAGAAAAATATTTTTTTAGGCAACTTTAAAAGAAAATGGCAGGATTGATTGTGGTATGTAATTAGCAGAGTGAGCAAACACTGCTCAACTGTTTTGTATTGGTTCAGGTGCTTGTATGAGTATGGGTATGTGTGCACATATAAGTGCATGTGTGCTTGTGCATTTGTGTGATCTGATTCTGTCGTGATGTCTAAGAAACAGTGTACTTTATCCTAAGAATAATAAGTCATAAGATTCAGAAGTTTATTTAAGGAGTTGTTGCTTAGTATGATAATTTCAGAAAATTTGATGAGGCAACTTATAGCCTCATGTCAAGGCTCTTGAGAGGTGCACCTCTTAACATTGACTCAAAATTGTAAATAAGTCCTTGAATTTTTTTCCAATCACAGTTTCTTTGTCTAAGCCCATGCTGGTTAGCTTTACTATAATATCAAAATTTTGCATGATTTTACTATAAAGAAAAAGTATCACTTCAGCTAGTTATGGTGCTTGACTCTTTAGGGGGCAAATTTCCTGAATATACTTCCCTAATTAATCCCTAGAAATGCACCAATATTGACTTAAGTTTCCAAGCAAAATGAAAAATGTTGTTACCTTACCTTTTCCTACCAGTCTTAAAAGTCTAATATTTGGTGACAAGTTAAGTGTAGCAGACAAAGCAGCCAAAGCGGAGATGCCAGGGGAGGTCCCTACATAGGAAGATGAAACACCACGATACTCAGAAACTCAGAGACATTATCACCTATTAGTGGAACGTTTATTAATACTCATAAGGTGCAAAAAAAATGAGACAGTGATGTAAAACGACAGGTGTCTTCTTCATCAGAGGTCTGCTTTGCAGCCCGTGAGCTCACTCGGTTCAGGCATCATGTTCTACAGGCTGGGGACTTGGACTCCATCACCTCTGACACAAAGCAGGGACCCTGATCTTGAGTAGCACATGATGCTCCAGTCAACTTTTGTAAGTACACACTGTTGGCCGTAGGAGGCTTTATTACCATCCCTTCCAAGGAAACAGATCACCACTACCTCCACCAGCACATTGAAAACAAAGCATATATGTTCCTGATGCTTTTACAGAATGTCAGGCAACTCATTATAGTTGGCCTGAAAATCAGTCCACACGAGAGGCATATGACAGGCAGATGGCTACAAGACTTCCTCAAGGAAGAGACAGAGCAACGGGAATGCTCCATGTTTAGGGAACTAGATCATGTTCAAAACGGAGTGGGGAACTACCAACCGCCCCCTTCCTACCAGATCTGACAGGCTTTTTCTGATTTGAAAACGGTTCCCCCTGAACTCACATGGTTGAAAATGTTACGTTTACCTTGCCATGTCCTCTAACACTTTGATAGGGGTTTATCTTGTGCTGGGGTTTGCTAATTCTTCCAAAACCTGGGTTTCTGGGACTTACTGTTTATTCAGCTGGAACCTACGAAGTCTGTTTTTACTTGACTGAAAGAAATGAATCCACAGTATCTTTCATCACAAATCTAATGCCCCGGGAGAGAATACAGCAGCAAATCAGACAGACAAGGTTCTCAGGAGCCCCAGTACCCAGGAGAGTGCCTGACACACAGTAGGCACTTAATAAATATTAATTGAACAAATATACGAATGATGACTGGGCTGAGGGTGTTGAGGTCACAGTAGTGTTTCTTTTACAAGGCTTTGGGTCTCTGAAACTACAGACTTCGATCTCATCTGTTAGCAACAGTGTTTAAGTTTTCTTGGCCAATTATGTTCTACTTGAATTTGATTCATACACTAAAAAGTTATGGACCGTTATAAATATCTTGGATTTCCTCTCTGGGTGCCTTTTTCTGGCCAAATCTTTGTAATAAAGAGATGTAAAGCCACACTGCACTATCGCCAACTTGCCTGCAAAAATTTACTAATATAAAATAGAACCATCTTATCCAAGTTGCAAAAACCAAAACAAAGTTACAAATCATTTTGCTGTAGAAATGCAGGATGGTATTATTCACCATAGTGTTAACTAAGTTTAGTTCCTCAACTGCACTATCCTTTGGAACTTTCACAAATTGTCATTTTTCTTCCGTTTTCAATATAATGGTTCAATTACTAAGGGATTGTTTTCAATTAATAATTACTTCTATTCCTTATAAAACATGAGCTAACAAACATTCTCATCAATTTTTATCCATAATTATCATATCATTGTTTAAGAGTCCCCATTTTTTCAAAGAAAAATTTCTAATAGCACAGTGAAAAACAAAGCAATATCTCATTTTACAGGTAAATGTAGTATAAATAGTAGATAATTGAATAGCTTATATATCGTATCCTATTATTCTCAGTGGCTGACTGCTGATCAGTTTAACTGCCTTTGAGCTATATATTTTTAAATGTGATTAAAACATAGTCTCACAGTAAATTTAAATGGCTTATTTAAGGCCCTTACATGGCAACAGTATCATATGTCAAAGATAAATGGTGTTTCTAATTTGCTAGCCACTTGGGTCAAGTTTACGTTAAGCAGGAAGCGTATTTATACAAGTAATCGTAACACAAATGGTCTCTTGGGAAAAGCTGTTTGTGATGGTTTAACGTTTTGAAGTATGCTTTTGTTTATCTTCTAAATGGGCATTTTATAGGCAATGGACCAAAGCGCCTTAAATCCATGCTTCTGAACACAGGCATCTTAAGGGTGAGGAGAGAGAGGGCGGGGTGGGGGTTGAGCCACCTTCATTTGACTAACATTCTTCAGGACCTCTACTTAAATCATGGTGGGGGGTGGCAGCAGCATCTGCAGCACCTGGGAACTTGTTAGAAATGTAAAAACTGTACCCCGGACCCACTGAACCAGAATGTACATTCAAACAAGCTCCCCCTGTGACTTTTAAGCACTGCCCTGGGACCCCAAAGCCTCTGCTTTCTGGTGGCCAAGCACGTGTCATGGTGTCCCTTTCTCTTTCCTTCTCGTCACTAGAATCATCCTCTTTAGAGGACAATGACCACTCAAACCCATGTTCCCCTTTCTTTCTCATCACTCCTGAACCCAAATGAATTTACCAACATCCGATGTCCTTGCTTTTATCAAGAACCCACTGCTCACGCTTTCCACCTGACACCATCCAGGGGCTTCCTGCTGCCCAGTAACCTTGGGAAAGTCCAAAGCATTGCTTTGCTGTGGCTGAGCCTCCCATCCTTCATTTATTCCATGTTGACATTGCATCCTTCTAAGCCAGAACCCAATCTCCCCTTGCTATTTTAATCCCTTCCATTCTTGAGAGAGGATTTCTTAATCCCTGTTTCTACTCGTGGAATGCTGCCTTCCTCTAACCCAGCCAGCCATAAGCTTCTCTGTTAATATTTATGGGACATTGAAAGGATGAAAGGGAATTATGCCAGATGTTTAGGAGAATCACTGACAGGGTTTACTCAGGAATTATATGCAGTAACTAATGACTCATTCCGCATCCCCCCGAACGCACTTCTTTTGGCCCTACCTTGGCATTGAGAGGCCCAGCCTGCAACAGGTGCCTGCAGGCAAATGGACCTCTAAACCAGACCCAGACTGGCCAGCCAGTTGGCCCCTGGAAGCAATTTGGTCCCTCTGTTCCAAACTGTGTTGGGGAAAAGGGCTCTGCAAGAAAGCGAACTGGGTATTTAGAAGTGCATTGCTTACAGATTCAGGCTCTTGGGGCCAGGGGTAAACATAGCCAATGGTCAAGGGAACAATCTGGGGTCAACCAGTGAGGACCCCTCCGGCTCCTCTGGAGCCGTCAGCACCCAGAGCAGATTTCTCTAATCAGAGGAGACTGGCAGGGGGAGAAACAGGATCGCTTTCTGGCCGTAGTGAGTCCGGGGACCGCGCTTGCAGCTTCCATTCTTCTTGAGCCCAACAAACCAATTCTTCTCTGCGTGCTTCTTGGATGTGTAGGTGTTGTAATGGTTTTCCTCCAGCCTTTCCAGGAACAAACAGTCCTCATCTGGTGTCTGCTAAAAAGATAAAAGAGAGTCGGTCTATTAGTGAGTGGTTTTAAAAAGGGTTCCTCGGCTTACTAGCTGGGTGACCTTGGGCAAGTTACCTAGGTTCTCTGTGCCTTAGTTTCTTCTTCAGTAAAAACGGGGTAATGAGCCTATCTCTGAGGGTGTTAACGAGGACTTAGAACAGGACCCAGCGCGTAATGAGCCTTCAGTATACATTTGCTGTTGTTATAAGCTCTCCTTCCATTTGCTGTCCTCAAGACCCTGTAGTCTCCCCCTGGGGAGATCCTGGATGACTACAAGCACCCCAAGACCAGGGCCGGGTCTTTTGTCTCTGTAAAGGCCTGGCACACAGGCATGACCACAACAAATGTCGAAAATAGGTAAAAGCAGACTGTGGGGCTTTTAAGCTTGGACTAGAAAAATAACTGAAAACCTACTAATATCACTTTTCATCCTAATGATTTTCACTCACCAAATCAGGATTTTACTTTTGCGTTGTAATGAACATACATGCTTGCACAAAACGTGTCTTAAGTGTAAAACATATCCTGAAACTTAGTTTTTTAAAAAAAAAATGAAAATAGCTCTTTTTGCTACTTATAAAAAAAATTCTACTTTTTAAAAATGACAACTTATTAAAAAAAGAAAGAAAAAAGAAAAAGTCACCCCAAAGCCCACCCACCAAGACATAGACAGGTGATGTTCACTTTCCTTATGTCTTTATGTACGTCCACACAGAGATATGTTGAGGAGCCCATATAGATATAGATTTAGGATGCTTTCAAAATGGCATGCTATATCTGCTGTTTTAAACATGGTACTAAACCTATGAAAACATTCAATTTCACTAGCAAGAAAATGCAAATTAAAAATAATTTAACAAGTTGGTGATAATATTTGCAAAGAGCAAAAAGATTTACAGGTCTTAGTATTAGTGAGAGTGTGGGAAATTGGCTCTCTTCACGCACTCTGTTGGTCAGATAAATTGGTGGAATCTTTCTGAGGGTAGTTTGGCGATATATATCAAAATTTTAAATACGTGTTACCTTCGACTCAGCAATTTCACATCTAGGAACTGACCCTTAGGAGATAGTTGGGCAAATGTAAAACTGTGTTTTCAAGGATGGTCTTTGGATATATTGGTTACTAATTGGAAGCAACCTAAATATCCATGGAAAGATGATGGGTAAGTGGATAGTGGCGCATCCATACAGTGGGATCCAATGCAGTTGTCAATTTATTAAGCTGGAAAGATAACTACAACATATTAAATAGGGCAATTATTTTTAAAGATCTACCAACAATTACTTTTTTTTTACTTGGAATTCTTCTGTTAGAGAGCAGGAGGAACACCAGTTATTTGAATTTTCTATTTGTTAAGATTTTAGAAGATATTTATCATATAGAGATATAAACCAGTTAGGTATATTAAAACACTATTATGCTGCTTATTGACTTTGCTCCAATTCCAAGTCATGTGGTCTATATATTATCTCTTCATACGTAGTGGTTGGTGTTTCTTTCTGGTGGTTTCCAATCCTACTGTTCATTGTTCTCTATTTGTGGGCATGTTTGTCTGTTAGACTGTAAGCCCTGCTTTGGGAAGAGATGAGATCTTGGTAGCCTTCTGTCTACCCCCAGACATAGAACCATGCAAATAATAGGTGCTTGCCAGCGAGGTGGTGAATTTGATTCTTGATATTCTGTAAAGCATGCAACAAAGTTATCTTTGGTTAGTAAGGAACTCTGTATCCTTACTTATTCATGTGTAGTCTAGTGCAGTGACAACTTGGTGAGGCACTGGATCATTTTAGAACAAGATGGATCATAGATGTAATGTTTAATTGGGTGACTCTACTGCTTCTAAAGGAACTTATCCAGACATCAGTGTTTGATGCACATTGTCAGGGGCGGGAGGAGGTCAGCAGTTTTGTACCTGCGTGGGTGGCCCACCCCCCTATAAGGAGGGTTCACGCCATGACACCACTCAGTGGGCATCAGGCCTGTGTTCTGTGACAAAGCTGAGGATGGCCACGCGCACCGCCCCCCCAGTGATGTCTCTATTACACTACAGCAGTAGACACTCATACAGTGACTGAGTCAGAGGCTGAGTCAGCGGGCCAGTTTGGAGGTGCTTGCGTTCACCCCCCAACCAGGATTTGTCAGCGCTTGTCATGTACTTGGAGCAGTGCCAAAAGGTTGGGGATTAACAGTTGATTCATGCCTATTGTTTTCATTATTTTCTTTTTTATATTTAGCATGTTTTGTCCCCAATTACATAGGTGAGATAAACCCACTGAGGAAAATTCAGAAAATATAGCAAGGCATTCAGATATTATAAAATGAGCCATTTACCAACTCCAGAGATAAATAGATTAACGTTTTGGTATATAGCCTTTCAGACTTATTTTCTTTTAAATAAATATGTCCTTTCCACACACACATACACACAAATCCGTATCATGATGGATTGATACCTAAAATCGGTGAAGAGCAAAAGGCAGAGCTCTGAGATATTTAGAACTTCTCTTTGTCAATGGGTAAATATAAAATTATGAGGCATAACATATCAAGATCACCCTCTGAATATTTCAGGTGAATTACAGTGATGGCTAGGACTATAATGGGAGAAGGGGGTGTTTGGAGCCTAGAGGAAGTTGGATTTGAGGAGTTCTCCCCCAATATTTTTATACAAGTAAAAGAAGGTTATAATAAATATCAAAAGTGATTTAAAGAAAGAAAAGCCATAAAATTGTAACATGTCACTGAAGAAATAATGAAGGTCAGGATATAGAAACTGTTTCATAGCTACCATTGATGGGATGCCGCCAACGTGCCAGTCACGCTGTCAGGCAGGTTCTGTTCATTGTCGCTCAGACTCCCCTTAAGCCCTTAATGCTGGTAGTTACTATCCATTACTATCTGCATTTTAGACAAGGCTCAGAGTGGGTGAGTAACTTGCCAAAGCGTCAGAGGCATGAAATTCAGTTATGAGCCTGAGATTGAGTGATCCATTGGTCGATTGATTACCAACTGGAAGAACCTCCTAAAAAAAAAATCTGCTCCCTATGAAGCAGCCACTGTCTTGCCTACCTCCAAACCCTTGAAATTATACCATTTGATCCATATTTCAGCCAACAGCCTACTACAGGCTACCTATTACTCTGATGATCTCATCTCCTTAACCCTTAGCGGGAGCATGAAAAGCACTGGACTGTGTCTACATCTTGAACTATGGCTTAGGTTATAGCTTCAAGAGAGCGTTTCCTGTGCCCAGTGTTACTTGGTAATTTGATATAGGTTAAAGCAATCCCCAGACTAAAATCACTCTCCAGGCTGCCTTTTTGTAGACATATATCTTCATAAAAGAGAAGAAAAGGGGTTTGGCTTTGGCTGTGAATGACAGCTAAGCCTTAATTATCTAGTTATTAGGATACGACGAAAGGATCATTGAAACCAGAAATAATTTCAAACCCTGGGACCATTGGCTTCAGCTCTCTTTCTAGTCAAATCTTTTACCAGAGATACCAGAAGGGATAAAATCAGATCGCTTCTATTTCTATACTTTTCTCACAAAGACTAGCATATCCAGAGTCAAACCTATCTAAATTAATTATGAGAAGGATGGAGCAGGTGATGTGGAGGATTTTAGATACTGAATAAACTCTTCATGCTTCTCGAGGGCAGGGATGTAGCTAATTTATCTTTGCATCCCTTTCAGTACCTAAAGTACTTAGATACAGGAGGCGTTTGACAAAATGTTGGTTCAATTGAGTTATTAAACTTTTTATCCTCTTATGTGACCCTTCTAGAATAAAAGTTTTATGAATGACATATCAATTCCTAGAATCCAGGCTCTGAAGTTTTTGTAAAAAGCACAGAGGACACACCTATAGCAGGTGGTTGATGCTCAAGAAACATTTTTGGAATGAATGAAGTGGGACTAGGTATTCCGGAATGACTGACAGATGAGTTACCAAAATTTCAATCAATGTCTTCTCTTTGTCTATGTGATAATATGTTTGAGTATTTTGAGAGAATACCGCAAGAAACTCTTTTATGTTTGTGCCTAAAATAAGGCAAGGTAGAGGGCAGGAATCCTACTGGAAACAATAACAAACAGAGACTAATTGTTGCTTTATAGTTTGTATCACTCAACGTAACAAGATTTCTGGAAACCTCAAACCTTGGCCGAGTCTGGAAGCTTGTCAGCCTTATACTTACTGAGCCGTACAAAAGCCCGTCGGAGTCCATGGCCAAGTACTGGCCACTCTCGGTGCTCTTTATATACACCTCCCCCACACTTTCCGCACTGAGCTGCAGCTGAACTGAAATAAAAATAACACGAGCAAAAGTAAATAAACACTAGGCTTTTGCCAATAGGGCCTGGCAGCCAGGACAGTTAGCCATGGAAAATTCTGCTCATTCATTTCACAGAGCCCTCAAGGATGAGCCTCAGATTAATCAAAACATAGAAATACAGTTCCTTTTTCTTTTCCCTCCAAAGAAAGCTGTCCATTGGGAATCGTGTTCTTGAGAGGAGAGATGAAGCAGGCATGCCTACCCTTCCCCGTCTGCTTGTTATAAAATGACCCTGTGCAATTTCACAGCACCTCGCTCCTTTCTCTTTCTCTATCACTTGCAGGGAAATAACCACGGGAGGAAGTGGCGTTCACTTCCTGTGGCTCCGTGGTCCCAGTGATCCTGGGGTGCTGTAGAGTGGGCACCTGACCAGCCTGAGTGTGTTCTGTCTCAGTCATCAACCTGCCTTGTGGGGGGTGCCTTTTTACAGCCGGGACTTTCTAGGCCTGGGAGCTTCTCGTCAACAGACTTATTTTCCCAAACCTGACAGTGTTATTTTCCTGGACAGAAGAGGTTCACAGGAAGTTGGATTATTTGGCACATCTGAAACTCAGCGAACTCACTCACGGGGAAATTCAGTCATCCCCCAACTTCTGTGGCAACCCGACTGGGTAGAGACCCTGGCTTCTGATGGGGAAAATGAAGCACTTACCTCAAAATGCAGGGATGGGAACAGTTGTTCTCACCTAGGGGCAGTTTTGTTCTTCAGGGGACATTTAGCCATATCTGGAGACTTTTTTGTTGTCCTAGCTGAAGTGGGATGGTGCTATTGGCACCTAGTGGGTGGAGATCAGGGATGCTGCTACACATTCTGCAACGCGCAGGGCAGCCCTTCACAACAAGGAAATATCCAGGCCCAAAAGTCACTAGTGCCAAGGTTGAAAAACCTCAAGGTCGAGGTCAAGGGCGTAAGTTACCCTGAGTTACACTCTCCCCATTTATGCTGACAGGTACTCCCAAGCTGCCTTGCCCACGGCTGGATACCTAATTAGAGTCCGATATCCATTTTGTAATTATTCATTTACTCACTCTCCCCAGGGATGATCTGGAGGGAGGTGCTTTGATGGTTCACATTGGGAGTTGAACTTAATTTTGGACTCTTCTGAACAGTTTCTTTGGTTACCAGACTGTCACAACCATCATTATGACTAGGAGTGAAATCTAGACCAGGACTAGTGAGCACTCAATAGTTCCACAGGAGGATGAGCTGACCTCTTAAGGGTCAGCTTTGTTCAGAGGCCGAGGGGCAGGGAGGCTGGAAGAAACACAGGGCTTTGGTGGGCATATCTGGACCCCTCATTGCTTTTTCTTCATTTTCATTTTTTTATTTAATTTCTTTGAATAGGAAATATATTCCCATGTTTCAAATTTGGAAACAATACAAGAGGAAACAGGGAAAATTCTCCCTTCTTCCTACCTCCCACTTGCAACCAATGGGGATACAGCAGTAAACAAGCTAGACAAGATTCTTGTCCTTCCTCCCAGAGCACCTTCCCCTGGGAGACAAAAACAAGCCTCTCCTAGATATATTTTAGCTGTATCCTTTATGCACATATGAGCAAATGCATGAGATTTTATGCACATGTGTGCAAATGCACGTTATTCTTCAGGGCTGTTTTTACACAAATGTTAAGACGCTATCTTGTCCTTCCTCCCAGAGCACCTTCCCCTGGGAGACAGAAACAAGCCCCTCCTAGATATATTTTAGCTGTATCCTTCTAGAGAGATTTTTTGCACATATGAGCAAATGCACGTTATTCCTCCGGGCTGTTTTTACACAAATGGTAAGACACTATCCGTATAGTTCTGCACCTTGTTTTGTTTTTTGTTTTTTCTTAACAACTAATTGGAGATCTTCCCACCTCTTTACTGAAAGAATTAACTTTGTTCTTTTTGCCAGTTGAATTGTGTTCCATTATGTGGCTATGCCATAATCATGTAACCACTTCCCTATTAATACGCTCATATTTTCTCATTTCCCTCTGTTTTCCTTGTCTTCTGATTCATCCCAGATGAGGTGCATAGTTATATCGCTCCTAGTGAAGATGCATTTCTCTCATCCTTGGACGTCTTTGCCTCACTCAGGGCCTCCTCTAGCTTCCTGTGTAATGGAGTTTATCTAATTCATAGGAAGGAAATTGGAAGCCGCTGATCTCCTACACGGGTCCTCCTAAATTCTGTTCGCTCTGAGAGAACAGGACAAAAGCCCTCCCCGCCCCGTTGTGATCTGGGACTCCTCTCTTCTAGCTTCAAGTCACACCATTGCTCACTCAGTCACTACTTCGCCCATTCAACTCTGACAAATACACCACGCTCTTTCTCACCTCGGGGCCTTTATACAAGCTCTACCCTCTCTGGCACCCTCTTTCCCCGAGACTCACAAAGCTGGTCCTTTTCCTCCTCCTGTATTCAGCCTAAACATCCCCTCTTCGGAGAGGCCTTTTCCACCCCAGCACCTACAGTATGGCGCTCCGTACTGAGGTCCCTTCACCGCCACTCTCCTTACCGCCCCTGCCAGTGCCCCTTTGGTCACCACAGCATCATCTCTCTCGACTCCTTGTCTGCTTCCTTCATGGCAAGTTGTACGAAGTGCAATTATTTTCCCATTTAGGGCTTTACTCATTGACTTCTGCCTCCCCGGGAGAATGCGCATTTGGGAGAAGGGGCAGGGATGTTGTCTGTCCTGTTCCCCCTTAGGTCTCCCGCACATCTCACAGTGCCCTGCCCTCCGGGGACAACTAATATATATTTGTTGAATGACCAGTATTTGCAGAGATGATTCTGCTGGTTCATCATCAATAAGCTGCGCACCTTGAGTTATGTTTCCATTATTGCCTTGTGGAGTGAAGTAAGATGGGACCAAGTAGAGAATTGTAAGGCTCAAGGATGGGCTCTGCCACCAACCCTCTGCATGACCTTGGCCAGGCTATTTAACCTCTAGGCCACAGTCTCCTTCTCAGTAAAATGAGAGAGGTTTGGATTCAGTCTCTAAAGTTTTTTTCCAGCTCTATCGATCTATAAAGCAAGTGAATATGTTGAATAACAATGTATGATAGAATAGTATTCAACAATAACAAGGAACAAATCACTGACATATGCCACGATAGGGATGAACTCTGAAAACATGGTAAATGAAAGAAGCCAGTCGCAAAAGTACATATATTTTGTGAGTTCATTTGCATGACGTGTCCAGATGAGGCCAACCCGTAGAGACAGGAAGCAGATGAGTGGCTGCTGGGGCTGTGGGGGAAGATGGGGCAGAGGAGGAGACTTATGGTTAGGAGGCGTAGGATTTCTTTTTAGGGGGATGAAAATGTTCTAAAATTGATTGTGGAGATGGTTGCACTGAATGTAAGAAAAACCACTGAATGGTATACTTTAAATCAGTGCATTGTACAGTATGTGGACTTATCTCAGTAAAGCTGTTTTTTCTTAGGCTCTGTGTTTTCATTTATGGTTTTCAGAGAACTTTCACATATATTTTTCTGTCTATCAATTTTCAGCATAATCCTGCTTGTTTAAGACAGACCAAAGGAAAGGGATAACAATTTACTCATCAATTTCAATGTCCCGGGCAGCATGCTAGTTTCTACCCTGGTATGAATTGCGTAAAATTAGAATGTAGGCTCCAGAATCAAACTGCGTGATTTTAAATCCTGGCTTGGCTATGCGTTAGCTGTGTGATCATTGAGCAAGTTATTTACCTCTATTTCCTTATCTGTAATGATAGTGCCTGCTTCACGGAGTTGTAATGAGGATGAAGTGATCTAATGCATGGACAGTGCCCAGCACTATCATTTCCGCCGTGTTTAGGTGACCTCATCGCTCCCCATAGCACTCCCTAGAGGAAGGTGGCACCAGCTCTGTCCTATAAGCGAGAAGACTGCAGCTTGGCGAGAGCACATTTTCCCCAATGTTACACTTGTCATCTGGGGCAAAACTACGACCGGAACCCAGGTTTGAGAGTCCAAGTATCCTGCTTCTTCCTCTCTTTCATATAACACCTTGGGCTCCGATAATGGGAAACAGTGGTCCGAATCAAGCCATCCTCTCTCATCTTCTTCGAATTCCTTGTGTTCAAGGTCAGACATGTGCAAGATGGTGGATGGTCATCCAGGTCCCCTTTCGTAGCCATAGAATGGAGTGATGTTAGTCCCCTGAGACTTCTTCCCATCTACCATCCATATATGTAGGTATTTAGTCAAACACATTATAGGTGCAACAGAAATCCCAAATTGCAAATCCTTTTAGGTAATCAAAGATTTTTTTCTTAAAATAGACTGTATTTTTTAGAGCGTTTTAGGTTCACATTAAAATAGGGAGGAAGGTACAGAGATTTCCCATGTACCCTCCTCGTCCCCATCATCGACATTCCCCGCCAGAGTTGGTGCATTTGTTATAACTGATAAAACTACACTCACATGTCATTGTGACCAAGGAAGGTTTTTATAAAGCTTTTTATTCCCTAGTTCATTTCTTTTTTATGTCTTAAATAGTTCCCATTCATCTCACTGTGGGGAGAAGTAGAGTTTACTTTGCCGTCTGTGGAGTCCCCTCTTGGCCATGTAAAGGCCTCACAGAGGTAAACATGAGCCAGCACTGCTTGGCACATGATCCAGTGCTCGGCCGTGAGCCCCAACACCAGGGTTGTTACACTGGTGAGAGTTCGTCTCAAGAGTTTCCTCTGTAAATATTATTTCTCCAGGATGTCCAAGTTTCATAGCTCATTTTCACTGGATTTCTTTCTGGCTAAGTTTCCTAACATATATCCTTCTGCAAGCAGAGCTGGCAGGAAGGAGTAACACCCAGCCCGAGCTGCTCGTGTAACCAGCTAGGTGTCCAACTCCCTAGTGTGACTTCATTCCAGTTTTCCAAACCTACATCCTCCTGCAGCTGCTTCTGAGGAAGAGTGGAGAGGAAGAGTGGGGAGGAGAGAGCAGGAGAAAGGGGCTCAGAAAGAGAGGGA